TATAGAATGCACACTAAATTTAGTAAAAAAAAAGTAAGATATCATCTCATTAATAATTTTTTATATTGATTACATGTTGAATTCACAATATTTTGAATATATTGGGTTAAATAAAATAAATTATTGAAACTAATTTGCCCCTTTTTATATTAAAAAGTAAGCTTTAGTAAATATGCCTGCTAGAAAATTTAAAATTACATATTTGGCTTGCATTTGGGACTCACATTTTATTTCTGTTGGACAGTGCTGCTTCAGAGTCCATTCGTCACCCAGCATCCAGAATGGTCTTTTTCTCAAATGTAGTCAGACCATGTTGCTCCCCTGCTTGAAAACCCCTAGAGCCATCATCCCATACCATAAAAATCCGTGCAAAACCCTGTCTGCAGGTCTTTGCATTTACTGTTCCTCTGCTCAATAGCTCTTCCCCATATCTGCAGGGCTCACTCTCTTAATTCATTTTTTTCTCTGCCTAAATGTTACCTCTTCAGGGAAACTTTCTGCTATGATTTGAATGTTTGGTTCCCTCCAAAACTCATGTTGAAACTGAATCCCCACGTAACAGTATTAAGAGAGTGGAAAATCCAACTATGGTATTTGAAAGGTGTAGTCTTTAAGAGGTGGTTGGGTTATGAAGGCTCTGCCCTCATGAGTGGATTAATCCGTTCATGGATTAGTGGGTTGATGGATTAATGGGCTAACATGGGAGTAGAACTGGTGCCTTTAGAAGAGGAAGAGAGACCTGAGCTAGCCCACTCAGCCCCCTCACCATGTGACGCCTTGCACCACCTCAGGACTCTGCAGAGAGTCCCCACCAGCAAGAAGGCTCTCACCAGACGTACTCCCTCAACCCTGGACTTCCCAGCCTCCAGAACTGTAAGAAATAAATTTCATTTCTTTAAAAATGACCCAGTTTCACGTATTCTGTTATAAGCAACAGTAAATGGACTAAGACAGCTTTCCAGAACACCCTTTCTTAAACAGTAGTACCTGTTCCTCTTTCCCCTTACCTGGCTTTCTTTCTCTCCCGAGATGCTTAGCATCATGTGACATTGTTTACATTGGCTGCTTCCCTAGAGCAGAAGCTCCTAAGGGTAGAGGCTTGTCTTGTACATTGCTGTATCCCCAGTGCCTAGAACAGTAGCAGGCTCTTGGGAAGTGGTCAATAAAGACTTGACTGATGGAACAAAAGTATGGTGTGTCCTGGCGGTGAGAAGCCCTGTGTGGTTGGAGCGGAGGGGGTGTCAATGGGGTGGCAGAACTGCATGTGGGTGAGATGGGAGCCCCAAACAGGAAGAGCTTGAATGTGGTGCTGGAAAGTCGGACTCTTATTCACTGTGATGACAGCAAAGCTATGTAAGATCAGAATGTCCTAGGCACTGACAAAGCAGGGCAATTGAGGACAACTGATTTTTAACCCTCCTTGTAGGAATCGGGGAGCTATCAGAGGGCTGTATGTGTCTGTGTATGATTACTTAAAAAACAACTTTTTATTATGGAAAACTTAAAAAGTATGCACACAAGACAGAGGAGCGTGACGATACTCCTGAGTCCACAGCACAACTTCATCAGTGATTCACTCACGGGCAACTTTGTCTCATCCACGTCCCCATCTGCTCCCTCCTCTTGCATTATTTAGAATCTCAGACATCACTTCATATCCACACAGTTCAGTATCTATCAAAGATAAGGGCTCTTTTTAAAAACATAAGGACAACACCATTATTATACCCAAACAATTAATAATAATTCCTTGATATCATGAAATATCTGGTCAGTGTTTTAACTTCCAATTGACTCAGAATTCAAATAAGGTCCTCAGTTGGTGGCTTGTTCATGTGACTCTTGGGTCTCTTAATCTAGGGTATTCCCTTTATTTTCCTTGATATGTATTTGTTGAAGAAGCTGGATCATTTGTCCTGCAGAGGGTCTCAGTCTGGATTTTGCTCTTTGCTTTCCTGTGTGTTTAGTATTTACCTTTGTTCTTATGATCTGAACATTGGTAGTTAAAAACTGAATTACAGGGCTGGCTGGTTAGCTCAGTTGTTTAGAGCCCAGTGTTACAACGCCAAGGTCAAGGGTTTGGATCCCCTTACTGGACAGCTAAAAAAAGAAAAAAGAAAAATTGAGTTGGAAATCTTTTTTTTTTTTCTTTTTTTTAGGATCCGAACCTGTGACGGGTGTTATCAGCACCGCACTCTCCTGAGTGAGCCACGGGCCGGCCCTGAGTTGGAAATCTTAATGAAGTTCAGTTTTGAGGTTTTGGCCACACTATTTCCCATTAGAGTTCTTCCTAAAGAAAAGAATGATAGGGTCTTATTCCACAATAAAAAGGAGTGAAGACAACACCAGCGGTGAACTCTGATATAGACTGAGGACAGCATTTATGATGATCAATGATGTGCCAAGGTGGGTACCTCACCTGTGACGAGTGTGCCACTATGATGCAGTGATGTTGATAGTGGGGGCAGGGATGGGGGGCTGTGTGTGTCAGGGGGCAGGGGACGTATGGAAACTCTGCACTTTCTGCTTAATTTTGCTGTGAACCTAAAACTGCTCTAAGAAATAAACTCTATTTAAAAAAGGGTGATATATGGCAGTGGTGGAAAAGCTCATTGTCTCCATCGTGGTGATGGTTTCGTGAGTGTATATGTATATCAAATCTTATCAAGTCCTACACTTTACATCCATACACTTATATGTTATTTACGTCAATTATACCTCCATAAAGCTGTTTTTTTTTGTGTGTGTGTGTGTGTGTGTCTCTCTGTTTATTCGCTCACAATAATACACAGCCCCTGGATGGAGAGAGAGTAGGAGGGGCTACAACGGGATGGGGTGGGAGGGGAGGAGGCACCCATTTCCCTGGCCCCTTTCCCCTCTGTGCTTGGGGGGGGGGAAGGGAGGGAAGGGACTCCCCTTTGCCCCCCAGAATGTAAACAGCAGCAGACTGAACAAAAATAAAAATACAAAAGGCCAGAGGAAGGTCTCAGGGATCTCCCCACCCCTGGGGTCTTCCCTGTCACCAGAAGAGGTCCCTCAATGCNTTATTATACCCAAACAATTAATAATAATTCCTTGATATCATGAAATATCTGGTCAGTGTTTAAACTTCCAATTGACTCAGAATTCAAATAAGGTCCTCAGCTGGTGGCTTGTTCATGTGATTCTCGGGTCTCTTAATCTAGGGTATTCCCTTTATTTTCCTTGATATGTATTTGTTGAAGAAGCTGGATCATTTGTCTTGCAGAGGGTCTCAGTCTGGATTTTGCTCTTTGCATTCCTGTGTGTTTAGTATTTACCTTTGTTCTTCTTATGATCTGAACATTGGTAGTTAAAAACTGACAGGGCTGGCTGGTTAGCTCAGTTGGTTAGAGCCCAGTGTTACAACGCCAAGGTCAAGGGTTTGGATCCCCTTACTGGACAGCTAAAAAAAGAAAAATTGAGTTGGAAATCTTTTTTATTTTCTTCTTTTTAGGATCCGAACCTGTGACGGGTGTTATCAGCACCGCACTCTCCCGAGTGAGCCACGGGCCGGCCCTGAGTTGGAAATCTTAATGAAGTTCAGTTTTGAGTTTTTTTTTTTTTTTTTTTGT